TGGCAGATCGTCACTACGTTAGCATTATATTTAGAAGATCTGACTCTTGCATCTTCTTGATTTCTGTCCTCTTATATTTTCTCTTTCTGTCAGTTTTAGCTGGTAGATGAAACTGCAGGTTACTATCGAGTCACTACATCTTTTCTGATATCTTCTTACCGATACCATTAGAGGGATGAGTCCTGCTGTTAAACGATAACGACACTCAAGCCCGTCCTACCGACATGATGATTAAACAATTATTGGCTGGATCTTTCGACAAGTAGTGTGCTCGCGTGGGCAAAGTTGATGCGCCGCTGTGAGGACCGGATATTAAAGTCTGATCTCGGGCCTGGCAGGGCAACCTCCTCAGGCTGATCGATCAGGGGAGATTTAATCTACATCCACTTTGAGTAGGAGCACGTCAAATAAGGCGCAGAGGAATTATCTTAGCCAATTTCTATAACATTTTGACCTGACATTTAAGGAATGGTAGAGTCTCCAGCCAGACGAACCGATGCTATTAAACTGTTTTCTTTAGAGGCATCCACTGCAATCTTTAGGAAACCCTGCCCTTGGAAACCCGTTTTTCAAAGCCGACATTCTAGTCATTTACCTACATACTGAGTTGAAACCACACTATCCCAATGTATATTGACCCTTATGGAGCAAAAATTCTGACGGAAATGGTTACTGGAAGGACCCAGGGCTGATGTTTAGGGTACCACCCAGAAACAAAAAATGCCCAAAGTATGAACATGATTTAAATGTAATATTGCGAAGCAGTATGTGTCAATATCACAAAGATTGCCCTAAAATCACATTGGGTGCCTGTAACGTTTTGACATATAATTAGTGGGGAGGAATGGTAGAGTCGCCAGCCGGACGGACCGATGCTATTAAACAAGCTATTGTGTTCTTTTTCTTCAAACGATTTTTCTACCGATCGCGATTACTCATCAAGGGCAGTGAGCATTGGACTTGAGAAAATAAATTCATCATTGTATCCATCATGTTGTCATTGGACACATTACCTATACAAGAATACATCTGACGAAGCGAAACTTTATCTACTATTGCAAAAGGGTTCAATTTTTCATCCGCCTTTCAGTTAAAAGCTATTAAAGCTTTACGATTGTATATCCATTTATGAATACTACACATTCCCAAGACCTTATATGACGATGTATTGCTTCGGTTAGAGAATGTTGGCCTGACTTTAGGGAATTGTAACTTTTCTTTACTGCTCTTTCAGTGGAACCCATTCGATTGGCAATTACTTGTATGGAACATCTGTCTACAAGATGATTAATCACAGAATAATGATGCTGAGTTTATCAGGTAAATTTATTAGTATCTTCATCGAACTGTTTACATTTAGATATTTGCTGTTAGTAACGCGATCTTCTTGTTATGGTAAACTAAGTTCGTGGGATTTCTGACAAATGTCCTAACTCCTGAATTATCAGTATAATAATACAGCCTGGTCTAGGAGGATGTCATGTAGCGATCTTGGGGACAAATTAACGGGCTAGTCCGATGTGGTGCTCTGTCTGAGACATACATTACCCAGGGCACTGTCTGAGACATTACGCAAAGTTCTCCTAATTATCCAGTGATGTCGTGCTGTCCTAAGGCGGGTAAGCTTTAATTTTAGACATCCTAGAGGACAAACATCTAAGCATCTTTCTAAAGACGTGCCATGGCCAGACATTCAAACGATATTTGTTTATAAGCTAGTAAGAATTACAATGATATGCCATCGATTATATCTGCATAGCATACAGATATAATTAACACTGTGAAGCAGGCATGCGTAATTACGTAAGTCAAACGCAGATTAATCATTATGATTAGAATCCGAACAGAACTATGAATCATATTTCACAATTATCATTACGCCCAAAGGAACCCACCAATCTATGCACTGCTTTAAATACATTCATGTTATGAAACTTTTGTTGTTACAGTTACTAAAAATTCCTTGCGCAGTTCTTTTGCTCGAAGCGCTCGAAAGCATTGCTTTTTTTGTTCACTAGACCGTAAAACGAAATCAGAATACGGATGGGGTCGAGAAGTCAATTGCTTAAAGTTGTTTGTAATGTTTCATATCCCAATCAGTAATCCCATGTGCATAAGGTGACGTGTGCCTCGCCTATGGCGCCTCTAAAATAATGCATACATTAAGCAGACCTAAGGCAGGGATTGACACCGCTGACGACAAAAGCATGTTATGAATATCTGCATAGGATTGCTCTCAAATGCAGACACTTTTTATCCATTCCTGTCTGAGGACAAAGACAAAGACTGAAGTCCAAACGAAATACGAAATGTTGCATCATTCTAATAATGCTCAGGTCACATTTCCAAACCGGGGCCCGGCCGGGCAGTTAGCAGGAACGAAAACACAATTAAACATTAAAAAAGTTGAAAAATTTACCATGAGCACTACCTGTATATATTCTTGATATGAACTGTTAATTTTTCGTTTATGCAAACAGCCCGGCCGGGCCCCGGTTTGGAAATGTGACCTCAGCATAAGATGTTTTTAGAATCACGGTTTTGGAAAACATTTCATCCGAATATAAATTCATAGACAAGTATACCTTATTTTAGATGCGAATGCTGCTCTTGAGGAGACAAAAAATGCCAGGTCTAAATGGTGTATTTAAAAGCGGAACGGTGATAGACAGATGGCTCATTATCATTCTTGTTGTTGGTCGCGTCTGATTAGATTGGATGCTGCAGTCATTACGCCAACATGTTACTGATATTATTAAAGTCGCCCCCATTGGACTACAGGATCATTTCCCTCCGCTCTGCACGACGGCAGGAAAGGTGACCCCTGCGATGGCACGCTGCGGCAATCGTGACACTCTCCAAATTGAGCCCGATAAGGTCACAGCGAGCGCATTAATTTTCGCCTGATTTTGGAGAGAAAAAAAGAACTTTTGTTTCCTTCTGACAGTGGTCAACATGCCGAAAACGGGCAAAGATGTCTGTTGCCATGCCAGAAGGTGGATGGCAGATAAATATGAAGAGAGGAGTCCAAAGGCTGACTTGACGTTTTGTTTCTTACTTTGATACAGTGATATGTGATGCTGGCTGTGTATGTGTGATGTTCCCACTGATTGAAAACCATTTGTACAATAATTGAGTCAAGATTTAAAAATGTAGGAACCTTGTTTTTTTCGGCCCGCCATGTTTTTCCCCTGCTCGCATTAGATTTGGAGTCTGCGGAGGATGTCAATCATAAAATTTACTTGCTGTGGCCTAACGTTCAAACTTCAAACGTGCCGACCTGAGTGCAGGTACCTCAGGACACGGAGAGCATTTGGGGACTTCGCTTATCGCTGACCGACTGCCGTTATCACGTTTGGGACGGGGCGTAATTAATTGAATAGTTCTCATTCTCCATCACGGAAGAGTGGCCTCTCACTCCCATGGTAGATTCGAGATTATGCTTCCTGCACAGAAGCGCCTCAGTTATTATATAGCATTTGTCAAGGCGATTTGTGAGCTTCATAGACAGATCTAGAGCTTCATGGAAAGGACTTCAATCAGAGCATTGGCTTCTTTCAATTTTTGCTTTCCTCGTTTTCTTCAGCAATTATATTTTAAGGAAAAAATTGCGGTATGTCATGACATTGCATTCAACTTTTGATTTCCCCATTTTCTTCAGTAATTATATTTTATGGAAAAGAATTGCGGTATGTCATGACATAAGAATGTTTACTTAAATGGCTTCCCCAATAATGTAAGGAGGTCAAAATTAGCATTGGTCGAAAATGATTATTCATAACGTCAGAAACAATCATTCAGAGATTGCCTTTCATAAAACATCCCTATTGATGCAGAGACGCCTTTTTGGCCTGGCCCAATTATATTCTTACGACTGTTGCGATGCTGATATTATGTTTTTATTCTAATATGTGACAAACACATGGAGTTTAATTCGTCACTAAAAATACATGTCTTTAAAAGGTCTCGCTCTAGGTTTAATTTGCTTGTCAAGTTAGTCCAGTGTGGACCTCAACCTTTTGACTCAGTACCCAAGAGGACTGCTCCAGTAGATATATATTGTAATGAAAAATCGACAAATTTAATGACACACGAAAACATTAGTCACCAGGGTCATATATGTGGCAACAATCAATTGTCGACATGTCAGATGAGCCCCAGAACAAATTTACCTCCGTAAATGATTGAGATGTCTTAGCTATGCAAGTAAGGCCTTGATTTGATTATATGGATGACATCCGCGGATGGATTTTCGTCCGTTTCCAACAAAAAAACAGGTTTTCGACCATAAGGTAAACCGTAAAAAATGAACAAATATATGTTGCAAATCGTATGTTGCAAAAAATGATTAGAAAACGATACTTATGTCATAAGAAAAGAAGAAAATAAAAATAAATAAAAATAAAGAGTTATACTATAGTCTTGTTAGTCTGTGTCTTTTTTTCATTGGTTCAACCTTTGTAGACCGCGTAGATTTCATATTGAAGTAAACTTCTTTTTGCTAAACTTTTATTTATTCGCACGCTCGCATCAGTTTTGGGGTTCCCATAGGATGTCATCCATATAATCAAATAAACATGGCCCAAGGGACGTGGGGCTGGGGCACATGATTTTTACTGGGTGGATCTACATGCAAGTTATGTAGCGTTACGGGTGGACGTTTCCAAGCATATCCTTCCCGTATTACAGGTCTGGGATACACAGTGTCCGTTATGGCACAGTTAGAAAATGACACATACGACATACCGCAACGCAACATCGAGCATGACTCTGAGTGCGTGAAAGTTGTGACTGACGGTAGAAACATCATATATTTACTTCGTCTTTGAAAATTTATCACAATATCAAGAGCCATAGCTTTACAATGTCGCATATAGACGTGTACTTTGAACTTTTTCGTCACGATATGAGTTCTAAGGATTTAATATCCGGTGAAACGGTGCGAAACGGTCTTTGCTCAGTGAGACCCCGATAAGCCCGAAGCAGCCCAGTGTGCCTACCTGCATAGTGCGGCCTCAGACGGGCGTCATACCCCTCCAGCACCGAGTTGATCATATTGGTGTACGTTATGCTGCAGGGCGAAATACAGTGGGAGAAATATTAGTTTTGACGGCATCAATTACAGTGTTTGTTTTATTGCAGTATAACTTATTGTTTTACTCACAATTGGCATCAAACGAGCTTTAATATCTTACGCACTCAACTGTTTGACTTTTTGCAATAATCTACTCATCTGTCTGGGTAACCGTACTAGTTGTTGTGCCTGTAATTGATACATGCATAATTTACGCCTGAGGTTATCATATTCATGTGAACCATAACAAACAATCTCATTCGGCAGGATTACACACTTTATTTTCCTGTCTAGTGTATTAGTGGCAGAATATCAATGATTGCCAAAATTTCTACATCATAGGATTTGGAGCGAAACTTCTTCTATTTGCTATACATCAGTCACGTATATATTAATCTGGCGCCGGCATCGTTCTTCATGTTACCGGGACGTCGCCGAAGCTGCTGCCGGCGTTCCTCCCGGTTACGCACCGCCGGGGTTGTCGTGGGAGACAGACGACAACAATTTCAACACACAAGCTCAAGGGCATGCATGTGTCCCGACGGAGAGTCAATGATGAAGGATGGTAGGAAAACGGCTTTCGGCAACGCCATGGATCACATTACGGGGCAACCGCCACTACACAAGTCCTCAAACGAGTGACGAATAGCACCCACCCCAGTTTATTCAATTCCACCCGGGTAAAACCTGCCTTGATAGAAAGAAACGTGATTATATGTCAAACCACGGCAGGCAGATGCAGAAAGAGATAGATTATGATGATATGTCAAACCCTTTCTTGGCAGGTGTGTTGAAGATCCTATGACATTTACATGTAGTTTCAGCATTGCTTTGAGTTCTTTTCTGAGAAGACGACTACGCATCATTGGCATAAGTAAGGCAAATATTCTTAGCCATGAACATTATTTGAATCCAGACCAAAGAAAAATGAGAAGCAATTACTATTTGTCATTGGTCTCTCTAGCTCTTTTGATTTATATAAAATGTGTTTGTAAGGCTATACCTTTTTGTATAAAAATCAACTATTTTTGGTCAAACAAAGTAGAAGACTAAAGAGACTTGAAAGGAAGGATGCAGGACACAATTACACCAGTAAGTCTATCCTACCTTGTCTCGCTGGTGCCGGGTGAAATCGGTGTCCCGTGTAGCGGACGCACGAAGAAGAACAATTGAACGAGCAGCGGTAAATCCAAGTAGACATGAGCCCAGATTTGGCGGCAATTCCAGGCCATGGTTCCAAAGCCTTAACTACCTTCAACCTTTGATGAAACTATCCACGGATACCTTCAAGGAATCTGGCGCACTGTACGCTTTGTTATCCTACTCTAACGGACATCTATCAATCGATCTGACTCAGTTGCCGACAATGCCAGTGATGAGCTGTATCTGTGCGTGAAGGAAAGGATCATCCTCACTCTGCCACGCTGCAGCTTCAGAGGATCCGCTCTGCATCCGCAGAAGGCCGAGGGAGGCTTTTGAGCAGAAGGATATAAGCTCCTGCACCCGGAGGATTCACTCCGCGGTCGTACATATCCCCGGAGTCAAGCGGCAGGCGGAACTTTCTCGGCGGGGTTACGGTGGGGAGACTCTCGGTGACGGCACGGGAGCGGTGTCAGCCCGGCGTCGTCAGGAGGAGAGGTGCCGTGTCACAGGACGGACGGGTCACGTGCAGCTGATGTCGCGCCTACTGACACGCGGAGGATTCGCCGGATTCGCCAGGAGATTGCATCCTCTACGACATAATCCCCCGCACGCCGCATCTCTTATAAGCGGGACGGGCGTTTTGATATACAGGGCATCAAATAAAGTTAGTCACGGACTGACCCCAGGGTCACTTGGCCTGGAATACTAAGCTTGGTCTGCTCTAATAACGTAACCGATTCTGTCATGGTGGCTGAGACACACACCTTCTACAGAGTGTCATGTAAGGGCTTTGTGGATAATTATCATAATATTCATTACTGCGTGTGCCCCCCTCCCCCAGAGCATTAGTTCGAGTAATGAACCATGAGAAAGGGCTTCGTCATAGCCTGTTACAACTTTTTATTAAAGGATAAAAATGTATTCAACGCGTAAACATTTCCAAATAATTATGCTATGGCAATATCCATGGTCACGACTCATACAAACTGAACCATTTCGTTTAGGCGGAACCTGTTAAGCTCGACCGATTACTAAAACAAATCCAATGTAGTGATTATAACATCACCACATATATAATATAATGCTTAATTCATGAAAAATCCATCCCTCTCACAGTTTGGTCTGGCCGTACTTAGTTCCCCAAAGCGAAATTGTTGTTTGTTGGACTAGTCTTGTTCAGAGAAATGAATGAGAGAAATGAAGTTTTCTTTTCTTTTGCATTACTTTTTAGCTGTTCAAAATATCTATTTATTTTAGCCTAGACTCTGCCTTATCTCTGAAATTATATTACGACGTTACGACCAATGATAAACAACGGTTGGTTTGACTTTTGTTTCAACTTTTGTGACAGCAACCTGAAATTGCTTTGCAAAACTTACATCTTATCCACAGAATACCTCAGAGTTTAAGAAATCCCCAACCGACGTCCCTCACCCATTTTCGCCGTGTGATGTTGAGGACATTATTCAATTTCGCTCTTATAATTTGGTTGGCTCCAAGTGTTACTTTTTTGTGGGCGTTTATGGCGTGTCTCAACTGGATCGGAAAAACTCTGATCAATCATAAGGGCGGTTCAGCGGCCGGGGAAGCGGAAATCGAAGTTAGTGTGCACGGCGGGGCGATACAGGTGCGGCCTGATGGTCCTCAGGAGACACCCGGTAATCTCACGGCTGCCACCGGGACGAATTCGGTGCCAACCGCGGGGGACAAACACTCAATGAAAAATTAGTCTGTGTAACAACCTTCGCTTCGGTGTCCAGAATGAAGTTGCTGCCCATCTGATAGACTGTAAGACAAACGCTCAATGAAACAAGAATTCCGAGATCTCATACCTCCATGAAATATGGGCTTGATATGTAAATGTAAATTTCCTCTTTAATTATGCAAATTACCTCCGCATTAACATGATATATGCATCGTGATGTGTGTTAACTTTTGATTAACTTACAGATGTCCCAAGTATGACATTCCCATTATTCACCATTAAGAAATCATAGAATTTTTGCATAAATTATGCAAATTAGGTCGTCATTTGCATAATTAGTATCTGTTGATGTTCTGCCTGTCATAGGTTACATACATTACATGTATGAAAGTAGTATAATGTAAAACACTGTAATTATAGAATTTCCTCATTAATTATGCAAATAAAGTCCTCATTTGCATAATTTGCATTTAATCATGTACATCTCTCTCTAAGCTACCTACACACCAAATATCATGAAAATACGTTGTTCCTACATGTATATGGACTTATTGGCTTTTAAAGGTTTCGCCAGAAAGTCCCCTGCAGTTCCAGAACAAGCTGCTAGGGGGACCAAACTCACACCACTTATTGCTGACAAGATAAGCTATCTATCACCAAAAAGTCAAGACCATAGCTTGTTCAGGACAAAAGATACAAAAACCGGAAGTTCTGCTGCAGTACCAAGGTCATCCACCAGGAGGCCCATATTTGACATTGACCTTTGTTTTTCCAAGACTTACCAGCACACCAAATATCATCGCAATCCATAAAAGCGTTCTGAAGTTATGCTGACCACAAAGTTGCGGAAACACACACAGACAGACACACACACAGACACACAGACAGACAGACATACAGACAGACACGCCAAAAACAATACCTCCATTTTTCATGGAGGTAAAAATTAGTCTGTGCAATAGCCTTCGCTTCGGTATTAAGAATAAGTTACCATACATCTCATCTGATAGTGTAAGAAAAACGCTGGCTAACTTGAGGATAAAAACGAACATTCCTTCAAAAGCAACTCGTCTTGCTGTAATCCGACATATTCTAACCCAGTCTTTAGGTTTTCGGGCATCTTTATCAGTTGGTCATTGACAATAACTAGTGGGACTGACGATGGATACAGGCGGCCAATGGTTACAGCTACAGGCGGCCAACGTTAAGTTCCCCCGTGCCCCACCGAATCTGCTTGGAGATTAATTGACAACAATATATCGCCCTGTACTGCATTTGAGGTAACTCAGCACAAATTTTACAAATTGTATGGTACGTGTAGAAATGCTTCTCATTCCAACTGAACTGTGTTCTTTAATCCGTTTTCTTCAGTGAACATTCTCCGTCACTTTTTGGCCTCACGCCTTTTTCGTTCTTAATAAGGACATCATCTGTTTCTATTCGATCACCACGTCAAGGCTTCCCCCACTTCAATACGTCGCGCAGGATCTAAAAGCATATCTAAAGAATCACCATTAGTTGTCATGACCACAGCTGGCAGTTTGACATGAGTGACTGCAGTACCTACCGT